CACTGATAAAAAAAAAATAACAATAAGATTACATGAGTAACTTTCAAAAATTGTGACTATCTGTTTTTTATCAATTAAACGACAATACATTTTTATCCTTTTTAATTTTTTGAGAAATTATAATTACCCATGCCTACTTTTAAAATTCATGAAAATCTCATAAATTAGAAATGTTTAAACCAAGGGAGTATATAAGTAGCCACTTTTACTATTTTTGGAATGTTTTAATTAAATTTAAAATTTATCCTAAATCTTTAGAATATACACAACTCTTAAAAACAATAAATAAACCAAAATTATAAATTGAAAAAAAATTCTAGTTCTAAAAAGTTCTATTTTTTCATTGAAAGTATTTGTTTATAGATGCAAATATATAATACATCAGAAATGAGTAATATATTTCTAATCAAAATTAAGGAAATTATATTTATCTAAATTAATTAATAAAATAATACATTTAGAATGAAATAAATGAGATCATATTATAATAGGATATCTTAATTATTCACAGCAAGTTATTCATGAACAACTAGGGTAAATAAGTTAAATTGCAAAATAAAATTAACTGAACACTAACTATGAAAATATAGATCCTTATACTTATAAATACAAGTTAATGTGTGTCGATGCAAAATGATGTTTCAATTTTAACCAATGCATTAATCATATGGAACACAAGTTAGTAGTGAGAAGTAGCATATATTATGATCACAGTCAAATTATAAATTAACATATAACATGCAAAATATAAAGGGTATGACAAAAACAAAGCAAACAAAATCAAGTCTAACAGATTAGTGGTTCTAGGCAGGGAAGATGTAACGAGCAAGAACGTTTCGTTTTATAAAGTCACACGCCACCGACTGGGAGTGTGATAGATCAGTTAAAAGGGAGGACAAACTTTCAAAGGAACAACATAAATATAGAAAATACGGCACATACATATTTCTTAGCCATTAAACCAATCATGAAACTTACTCTTTTCGGTCGTCCCGTGAATTTAAAATTAGATATAGGTGTATCAAATTTTCAAGTATTTTAAATATATATAAAAAATTTAATATTATGTACTATTACAATTTTTTCTATTTATACATAAGCATCCACACACATAAATATAAAACAAATTTCTACTATAATGCATATATTAATAATTATATAAACGTCTAAATATATATATATATATTGTGTATTAAAAAGAATAACGTGTTTTCAATAATTTTTACCGCCTGATAATGATTAATTCACGCCGAAGACATGATTGAACGAGACGGCGGTGTGCGCGATACGAATTAAAAAAATACTGTACGACGGCCAATGTAGCGATGGAATAGGTCGTGGATTGTATGGAAAACAAACGGCGTTTGTCGTTACGGACGAGCGTGTATTACTTCACGATATTCCGTCGGTTCGATCGGCGGACGCGCAAAATTTATCATCAAAACGCGTTAGCGGTGACAAACGGAGCAAAAACAACCGATCGCAGTACTATATTTTGCTCTCTCCTTCTTTTCCCCACGGAATATCAATGTTGCCAACCAACCATACCGGGTAATCGTCGACGGAAAGCGACCGTTTCCCTCTCCCTAAACCCTTCCACAACAAACCCGTTAACCAATGGTACCAGAAATCTAAATAATCTAATACGACACGACGTTTTGTGGCTTTTTTCTGACTTCACGAAATCCAATACCAGCGAATCGCGATGGGGCTTCGAATGCTTCGATGAAGTCGTACTAACTACAATTTTATACAGAACACTGAACACCCAACTTTCAAATCCGACACGTTCACGTTAACGCATCGTAGACATAATATATAATAATTTTAATGATTAATAATCATTATCTATAACAGCCAATACAATTTAATATACGGTACATACAAACGTCATACAACTCATAGGACATATGCACAAGACAATAAAGTTAAAAAATAATATTTATTAGGTTGTATAGGTCGTACTTGTAGGTATAACTGTATAAGACGTGTAGAACTGAAAAAAATACTCGAATACCTACTTCAAAATTGTAATCAGCAGCGGCAGGTTTCTACCCAACAATCAGGTGGAAATGATTATTGGTAGCACCGGACCACAGTGTCAGTAAAATGGTCAACGGTACAAAACGGAAAAAAATTGTACAGAGCCATGCTTGCGGTAAAATGGCGATTAGATTTATCAATTTTTATCATTTTTCAGTTATCAAACGACCGGCGAGCGACTGTAGTACTGTATGCTGTAGCCTGTTTTAGATGTATGTATAGATAAACCCGTGGCTTCACCGCCAGGGCCAGCATACAAAAAGTAGTGAAATAGTGATATGTACTTAAAAAAGTTCAGTACTTGGCACTGCCATAAATAATGGACTGGTAAGGAAAGTTGAACATTTTCAGAAAATGTTAGAGAATGATTTTTTATGTTTGTTGAATAGGATTTACGTCAGTATCCTGTTGAAAGATTTTAGAGCAAATGCATATAAAAAAAAAAATGTATGGATTTGTATTTTTAATAATTTTATAAAAATATAAGAACAACTTATGTATAAAACCTTGTATTAAAAATTAAAGGATTTTGAATCATCAAATATTTTTTTATAGATTTTAATAGAATAAAACTAAAAAAAAATCATAAATTTTAATTAGGTAGTTATTAATATAACTTAAAAAAGTTGAAATATTTTGAAAAATTATATACATATATGATATATGTATAAAAAATTATCATGTAATTATTTGGTGAAAAGTCAAGATTATGAAGTATACGGTAATTCGTTTTCGAATTAAACAAAAATAAAATTGATTTAGTCAAAAATTAATTTGCGCAAAACTTCCTATTTTTCATCAATTTTATATTTGTTTTTTTTTCAATTATTTTAAAAAATACTTGTAATTCTTAGTTTTGACTTCTTTTTATTTATAAACAAACTAGATTCAATTTACTATCCAACATTTTTTTGACTACTTATTGTCCAGAAAGATAAAAAAAAACACATCATTATAAAATTAATACATTCATCACTCCTACACTTAGAATCTAAAATGAATTCATTTTATGGCCTTCGGTGAATAACTATTTTGGCAATCACTGGACTATGTTTTTAAAAAAATTTGTTGAAAATGGACGCCATGAATATGGTACCCAGAACCCAGAGATGCAAATTCCCTAAATACCTTGGTCAAATCTTAATATCTTGTCAACCAGGAAACTCCGTTACTACTATTAAACACGATTTAAGATGTCTTTACTTAACACTTGAATGCATAATAGACACATATGATCAAATAGCTAAGAGTCGAGATCCCCAAACTGCTGTAAGTCACGACCCCCTCTCCCCATCCAAAAACTTGAGATTTTGTATATTTATAAAAAGATTTTGTATTACCAGAAAAAAACTCATATAAATATAATACAATATGAATGACCTAGATCTGTGCACTTAAATCCTTCCCACAAAACTTAAAAATTATTTGCATCCATATAGTAAAACACTAAAACATAATATAACCATATATATGCTTCAAAATGTTTAAGTTTTTAAACATCATTGTTCAGCATAAAATATGCTTTATAAAAAATATGTAAAATTCACTCGGTGGATAGAATTATAATTTTTCAAAGGTTAAAGAGTATTATTTAGTTTTTTTATTGCATATCTTGGAATATTATGCTAATTACTGAGAAACTAATTCTTACATGTATATCTATTTTAATTTTCAGTAGCTAATCATTGTAATTTTAATTTTTAGATCTACCTCTATAATTTTTTCTTTTGTAGCAATAAAATAAAATTGTAATAAAATATGCTAAGAAAATTCCTTTGATATTGATGGTTTTTGGTAGCAAAATAAATAGGATCTAGTTAATAGTTTATACTTTAAAAAGGCCAAAATCAAAAATTCTTTACTTTGAAAAATTAATACAAGACTCCATAAGTCTTTTATTTAGGTAAAGTAAAATAAGCACTAGAACATTTTTTTTTTTTTAATATATACTTACAAGGAATTGATCAATTTACGAGAGAAGCGATAAATAGCTGTACATTATAGATAGCCAATAGATATTAGTTTTATAATGATGTGTATGTATTTTTTTATGAGTACTTACCTATCGGATATTCGGGTGATTTTATATTTGAAACAGTTAAGTTAGGTAGCGGTTTTTGGTAGTAAAATGGTACCTTTAGTTTCTAATCACCATTCTAAATACTTTTCGCTTTTGATTATAATCAAGGTAAACAAAAAATAAACAATTTTCAAAATATTTTGTTATTTTAAATGTTTTTTTTTTATTTATGTTGGCAAAATGTATAGCTTTGAGAGAAAATATTTGAAAAATTAATATAAGTTCTCACATAAGTTGTTCTTATAGATAGATATTTAAAAATATTAAAAATACATAGTATGGAATTGTTTCATCATATTTCTATGTTTAGCTTAACTTTTGTAAATTTCAAGTTTATTTTAATAAACTCATAATATAAATTCATTTATGTATATGTGCTCTATTTGGATATTTCCTCATTGAAAAATAGTGAGAATGTCCTCGTTCTCAACTTAAGTGAAAAAATACTATTTTCGCAAAAAGATCCGCTAAGATAGATTTTAATGGTTTTACTCTATCTATATGAATGTATACTAGTCACTAGATAATCATGATTTATTACCTACTATATTGTTTTTATAATTTACGATTTACAGTTTGGCAGTTCTTTCATAAGTCTTAAGACCGTTGGCCGTCGTGGTTCGTGGCATCAAGACTTAGTCTTTAATTCAAAATAAGAAATTTCGTATGGCGAAATAAAATATTGTAACTACATAATATATAGATAATTAACGTTTATTATCTATATATTTAAGATTGTAACTAACTATGGTGAATTTAGCCATGGGCTGTACTTCGAAATATTGCGCGAACATAAACATAATATGATAATATTGATAATAGATATTAGATAGTGTTTACTCTTTTTTATCTATAATAGTGGTTTAAGGTTTTAATCTTTTTAGCTTGGGCTCAGTGATTCCATGTTTCTATTCCTTAATAATAAGTGTCAAAAGTGTTCTTATTTGATAATAAACACAAAAAGATCTAAATTATAACACAATATAAACTATAAAGTAAATAACTATTTTATAAAGTATTAAAAATTTAATTTCGTCGCAGTGATCAAAGCAAAACTTACACCTAAATGGCTGTCGAAGTAAAATTTTGAAATAATATTAATATAACTATAAATTATTATCTTACAATGGGATCTTTATATTTTAATTGCTTTTTTTTTATGTATTTACAGCTTTTAATTTATAACATACACAATACACATATTAAAGACTAATATATTGCAACTTTCAGTTTTTACTATAAACTAAACTCAATTTTATCCTTAATAACCAATTAATCCTGGAATATTTTGTATAATAATTTTTTTAATATTAAATAAATAGCTGTAAATTATGATTAAAATTTTTTAAAATAGAAAAATATTTCTATAGTAATCATCATACCCATTTACCACCATTACTGAATTTATACAAAAATATTTAAAACTTTGTGAAACTTAATAATTATTATTTTTGAGTTGAATGCATATTTTAAAATATATTTATTGTATTTCATATTTTATTTGATAAATTGTTTAGTATTATGTTTGATTTATAGTACAAAATATATTAATGTTTAATAATACCTATGTGGCTATGTAGATTGTATATAGCAAATGTGTATTCATAAAAATCCATTTTGTTTTTAAAATTAAAATTTTCAATATTATAGTGATTTTATATCTTACAGGCTTTTATTAATATTATAAACTTAAAATGATATAACTCATTTTAAAATGTATGTATTAAATATTCCATATTATGATGCTTTAGTTAATATTCTTACCTTAAAAATTATATAATAAATATTCAATGTTATTGAATTTTTTCAATTATGCAAGACTAGTTTTTGTAATATAATTATTGCCCTTATTATTATTATTTTCTACTTTTTTTCCAAATTAAATGTTAACTATAGCCTATTTGTTTACTTAAAATAACTAATAAGTATTTACCTATTGTATAATCATATGTTAACTATCAAAATAATAATAGATTGATCTACACAAATTGTCTATTTTGTTAAACATGTAAATGTTTAATGTCCTCTTAATATTTTTAAATAAACAAAATTAAAATATTAATAACAATTAATAATATACATATTTTTAAATGTGTGTAAAGTAATTAAGGAAAGTAGAAACATAATACAAATTGTTATAACATTAATAAGGAATAAATCTAAATTTGCTACAATAATGAAACATTAAATACAATGATAATTGTAAATGTATTAAAAATATTTAGGATAAAAAGTTGGCCTTAAAAAGACAATTTTTGAGATATATTCATCCATCGAAATCTATCACCAATGCTTTGGATCAAAAAGAATGTTGGATAGAACAAATGAAGTATTTAGTTCAAGACTTCAAAACTCTTCTAAATTTATCATTTAAAGAGTAAATGTTATTACATTTAATATACGATAGTTAATTATTAATATTAATTTAATATTATAGATTTTGGTCTACAGTTGTTTTTAATAAACAAGCTACTATGGGATTATGTACATTTCTTCAAGAAGCTGCTCCTCCTCACTTAATGGATCAACTTCCACAAGATAATGATATTTTGATCGTTTACAATGAAATTGATTATTTTGCATTTAAATTATTTAAACGGCTAACTACATCCTCTGAAAATGAAGTAATTTTTGCTGTGTTTTTAAACAATTTATTATTAATTTTTATTTTATCTTACTAGGAGAATTATATGTCGCCTCATTATATGTGGAGCTTGTTATGTAATAATAATATTATAAGTATTCCCATGCTGTTTGATGTATGTTCCATTTATGGCCAATTTTATAAAAAAGAGTTAGAAATAATTTTCAAAGAATTGTTTACTTGTCAAAAATTATACAAAGAAAATTTAAAAAACTCTATTCAATTTACAATTAAAGTGAGTTACATAAAATAATTAATTAAATGTAATATTTGTAATAATCATTTTAATTAATAAAATTGCTAGTGTTTAAGTCAGTTTCAAGATAAAATTGAATTAGAAATTGAGTATGATAATCACAGATATCAAAGTAATGAAACTTCTACTGATATAGAAGAAATAAATCTTTGTATGATTGAAGATATTATTAATTTTTTATTAGACACATCATATAGTATTTCAAATTTCTTGGAAATTTATCCAATAGCCTCTAGTTTTTTCTATCAAGAAAAATTGCATTTTAAGTATGTATGACAAAATAAAACCTTATTAAGTGTTTATGATTAATTTCTATATTATTATTTTATTATATTTGTTTAGAATAGCTTCCTTTTATCATACTATAAAACCAATAATTTATAAGAAAGTAATTGGTATGAATAAATTGGAAAAATTTCAAGAAAAGCTACATGCATCAAGATTATTACTTGTGAAGTGTGTTCGACAATGTTTACTTCATATATCTATCCAACCTACAAATAAGTAAATCATAAGTAAATTATAATTCTAAAAACAAAAAGTTTTATGTTAATTGTTTTATAAAGATCAGAGAATGCAGTTGAAGAATATTTAGAAGTTATTAGTGAGCTATTAACATACAATGAATTTGTCAATGACTATAATGTTGTATATGATTTAACTAAAGATATAAAAAAATGTCAAAAATTTAACAAAGAAATGTAAGATTTTGAATGATTTATACTTTATTTAACAATATTTTAATGAAAAAAAAAACCCCTTTTTAGAGATTCAACGAGATTTGATTATTTACTAAAATCTTTAGAATTAATTAATAAACCAAATACTGAATTTGAACAAAAAGAATTAGAAGAACAACAGTTAGAGGTAATTATTTTATCAAATTTTTTTATTATTCTGTATTAATATAAGATAATAATTATGAATTTATAATTTAAGTTACAATCCAGTAGTACAAATATAGAAAATGCAAAATTGCAGTCTTTAATTAACAACGTTAAAGATTTATTGCCCCATCTAGGAGATGGATTTATCCAGGTTAGTTAATTTACATTTCTTTTTGTAATATTTACTGATAATTGATGTTTTATTGTTGTGTAGAAATGTTTAGAATATTATGATATGGATTCTGAAAAAGTTATAAATATGGTCTTGGAAAATAGTCTTCCATCAGAACTTACTCAATACGATTTAAATCTTCCTTTGATGTCAGAGTATGAAGATAATGCTACTGGTTATGATCCTTCAATTAAAGGGTAAGCTGAATAGGCTTTATTACTTCTAGGGAATAAAACATAACAATATATAAATTATTGATAAACAATAATTAATTTGTATTAATATTGTTTTATTTTTATTAAGAAATAAGAAACTTAAAAAACTTAAGGCAGTCTTAGATGATAAATCTTTCCGAAATGAAATGCGACCATTTTACGAAAAATATAATGTCACTGAAATTACATGTGCTGAATTAGAGTCATATTATAATGATGAATATGATGACACATATGATGAAGTTGAATATGTCATACCAGAACCAGCAGATGAAAATGAAAAAAGAAGACCAGATGTTGTACCAAGGGTTTTAATAGAGAAAAAAGCTGTAACTGAAATTGTAGAAGAAGAATTTTCAGATGATGAACCGCAGCAAGTATTGAATTTTCAACCATTCTGTGAAAATCCTGAAGAAGTTCGAGAACGACAAGCTAGGAGATATGCTGCAAAGCAATCTAATAGATCCAATCGAAGTAAGTATTTATGAGTAAAAACAAAAAATTTACATTTTTTGTAAACATGTTTAATTATGTAAGGTAAACAACAAGTAGCTTCTTCGTCAACTATTCCATCTGGGTCCAATGTTGAGTTGGACAGACAGAGGAAAAATGAGAACAAAGCATTCCGTGGGAACCATAACAGAAGAAATGCTGCAAGAAATAAACAACAAAGAGGAATGTTTTGATACTTTTTATTTCTTCTATATCCATATAAAAATACTAATACTTATAAATTGCAATATAAGATATATTTTTAATAAATTTTGACTTATATTTTAATTTTATCCTAATACTTTTATTTTTCATAAGATTTTTACTAATAGATATTTAAGAAATATATTCATATTAAGTATTGCCATAATATTTAAAATCACTTATTCAGTTCATAAATATATCATTAAGTAAACCAAATACAAATATTTTCCTACATATACTAGTCAATTTATAATGATAAAAATTAGTTATTTTGATGAGAAAATATAAATTATAAAATTAAATAAAAAAATCTCATAAACAACTTTAAATTTATTAAAATAATTATGAAATAATCAAAAAAGAGATTATAGATATAATATATTATATTTTAATATATAATAATTATATTAATTTAATTATTATTGTTTATAACATAATTCAACTGAGGAATCCTTGGTCAAAAATATGCAAAACAAATTCTTTTCAAGCATTTTATGATGGTACTTTTTATTTACTATACTTTATACACTAGTTAGAGTAATTTACTATGATACGCCACTAACAATCCAAAAAGTTTGTTGTCATATTATTGATTTTATAACAGAAGATATGATATATTAATTAATTTATGAAAACTAGGAGTTAAAGACTAAAATGTACATAAGTTTTTAAATTTAATAGTTTAAAATAATATATAGTACAATAATATTAATGATTTTGGTGTTATAATAGAATATAAAACATTTATATACCACATATTATACCCAGTTATAAAAAGATGGTACATAAAAGGTAATAGACCGCATACTGGTTTCCAGCTTTATATCTTTAAATAATTAAAATGTCAAACACTGGATATTTAAACACGAAACATTTTTTTTTTTTTTTTGAGTGTAGTTGAATAAATGTATTTAGCATAATGAAGTGTAATATAACTTATATTGATTCTCTATTTGATGGAACATATAAAAATCTAAATTTGTTAATGACCCTGATAATTTAGTAAAATCTCCTCCAATTGGTAATCAATAATGATAAATACATTTATTTATTGAACATTTTAACATAATGTTGATTAATAATTAAAATGTAAAAAGTACTTTATATTAAACAGATTACTTATAAACATGTTTAATGTAGGTAATAAGTAAATATTAATTTATTTAGTAGGTATTACTTAAGTAGTATTAGAATAATAATTTATTATATTATGAAGGTTTACTTACTCAAAACAATAATTATTAAAAATATTTATTACATCACTGGTGTCTAACCTGGGCCCAAGGTACTACAATTTTATTAATATTATCGTTTTATCAAAATTTATAGATTTTATCTTACCATTACATTACATAGATTTACAATTTTATGTTCAAAATAATCTATTTTACTCTGCAATTTTTAATATTAGAATGAATTGAGTTGTTTACTGACTATCCATATAACTGTACTACTGGCTGACATAGTACAGCTTGTCTTAATTACTTAGAGCAGTGGTCGGCAATAGGCAGTCCGTGGGTCAAATCCGGCCCGTAAAGGAAAAATAATTGGACCACAAAAAATACTTTTTTTAATAATATTGGTTTTCACACACAATATATATTTTATCTATTTTATGATGTATTTAGAGATTACGGATGGTGTTTATCGTTTATTGCTATTTACAATAATAGTTGCGATAACACAACAATTATTAACTAATATCTGAGTTTTTACTGGTCCTCGAAATTTATTTTTTGATTTTCTGGCCCTACATAGAATTTAATTGCCGACCCCTGACTTAGAGCATCTTCAATATACATTCAATTGTTTCCCAATGAGCTGTGTAATAATATTTAGCTATACCAAGTCTGAATGTATGATCAATTAATAATGCTAATATACTTAAATCAGCATTTGCCACTGATATAATGTTAAACTATTCATTGGGAGTCTACTGTTCAATATTCAAAAATTAAATTATAATTTTTTTTTATACAATTTCTACAAAAATGATAAATGATAATTAAATTTATTAAATTTTTTATTAAAATATGTAAATATATTATTTCATAGCAAATAAAATACATTAAGACAAATTAACTTGTAATTACAATTGATATTATATATTTTAATGCAAGACTGTAAAAAAAAAATAAAATAATTTTTAATAAACGCAAATTAATATTACTCAATGAGTTTCTTAGCTTTAAAATATCTTCTTAAGTACAAAATCTGCCATACACTCAATCCAAATAGACAAATAATGCTAAACATACTAAACCAATGAACTCTTCTGCTTGTTGATTCATTTGTATTTCGCATTTCTTCGGCACGATGCTTCATGTCAGAAAAATCTTGAACAATGGACGATGATAAATCTTCCAACATTTTCAAATCTAATTCCAAAGGTTTCAATTTAGCCACCTCTCCAAGTCCCTCATATGTTTTTGCTTCAACGCCAGTTTTAATGTTTAAGGAAACCTCCTGCAAAGTTCCTCTTTGATATCCAGGTACACGGGAATTAAAGCAAATTTCAAACATATCATAATTTTCAGTACTAAATGTAAATTTTCCTTTAGTTATGTCTTGTTTATTAGCTAAGATGTGACCTTTAGAATCTCTCACAATATAATCCATAAACTGACCATCAATTGGTGCAATTTCATAATCACCTTTTACCAATACATTTTGTCTGAGTTCTTCACGTAAACATTTTTGCGTATTTGGATGCATAAACCAACGAATTGGTGTTACTAATGGCAACAATAGTATAAGGATTAAACTCAATTTTAAATCCATACTTATTGAAAAATATGAGAGTTTGATTTTTTAATTGAATTCTGTAAAAATCAAAATAATTATTATGTAATAAGTACAAGATAATGGAGTTTTGGAATTTTATAGAAATAATATATTGAAACAGATGCATAGCAAAATTATGAAATTATTATTATTAACAGAATATTTAAAATATTTATATTCATATAGGTAATATTTATAATTTTAAATCTAAACTGTATTTTGTGTCTTTAATCTCTACCAATAATTTTGGGAATATAATATGTGATTCCTCAAAAATGTATCTTATAAGCAATTAAAAATAATCTAAAATACGTGGTCACAATTTTTCTTTTGGTGTATAAGTATTAATTTTATAAAATATAATGTTATGTTTATTAAACTTTAAACATCTTTATGTTAGATCTTAGTAATATCATATATAAATTACTAGAACCATAATTTTCAATCTAAGAAATTTTAAAAATAGGTGGCTAAATTTTATTTTATAGAACAAGTATAAAGGAATATGTAATATATTTATTGCTATGTTATTAAAATAGTGGAATTTCTTAATTGTATGCATAATGCTTACAGAAAATTGTCTGGCTTCAATACTATCGTGGTTTATATCATGGACAAAAAAGTGGTGATAAAATGTGTAATTTAAAAGTAGTATAAAGGGCCGAAATATCTATTTAACTGGTAAGAATTTTATTGTATTGTCAAATAGATTAAGTATGAAAGATTTCTAATGTTTTTGGTAATGAGATATTGTTCATATTTGTTTGTATTTATTAAGGAAAATTCATTGAATCTTTTCTCAGTTGTTGCTATTAAATAAGATGGTTTATGAATTTTTAAATTTAAATAAATACCGGTTTAGGTTTTAAGTGAAAAATATTATGCAACAGTATTCAGTGAATTTTAAGATAGAGCAAGAAAATAACAAAATAATAATTAAAACCTAACCTATATATTATAGTATTGTATGATATTTATAAAATAGTATAAGTAATACAATTAAAAAAAAAAAAAATGATACCATTTGTAATAAAAAAAACGTAAATAATAATTTTTAACAACACAGGAATTAAATAACTAGGTAAACATAGGTATGTGTATTTAAAGAGATGACCAGAGACCCATTAACTTAAAAGATGACTGACCGTATATTATGATTAAAAATGCATGATGCTCATAAAGGGTGTCAAGTGTCAACGGATGGTCAACCATGTCATAAGCTCTTAAACAGTTGAATGATTAGCAATGAATAACATAAATTCAAAATAAATTTTACCTTTAAGTTTTCTGTTAAAAATGATTTGTTCTTCAATTGTATTTGTTGTGCTCGGCTATTGTATTTTCGTATGGATGGTGGTAATCATTTTTTCGTGTATTTAAAATATAACTTTAATCTCAGATGTAATGTGAAACCAACAACTGCGTTTGGTTTATTGACAAACTGTCATATTTTAATAAGAATCCATATCATTCGTAAGTAGTTTAAATAAAAACATGTATAATATCTCAAATCATGCTAATCATGATTGTAGACTTGGGAATCGTGACTATAAGACGCGAGACGTGAGTTGTAACACTTGTAACTTGTACACAAAGTATGCAGTATAGACGTAATCGTACACAGTTACACATAGGCATAAAGCAATAGCATAATATTGTATTACAGTGTTATCACAAAATATTTTTGATGATGTTTACAGTTTCACGCATAACAGTTTGTAGACGTCGATGATAATATAAAAAAATAAACCACGGTAAAAGATATAATGTTAAAAACACAGAACTATGTAAATGAACATCGATTTCGATTTTGTGGCTTTATCATAGATTTAAGTGATTACTGATTATATTTAAAAAATTGTATTACATTTTTATTCACGATAATAAAATACTTTGTACGGCGCATGACAAAGTGAATCACATTTAAAATTATTATAACTATACATAATTTAAATAGACAATAGCACGATCACAACCGTCAACCACCAAATGACAGGTAATAACCGCTATGATACTCATCCATAGATAATATCTAGACAAATGTGGTTTCAAGCAGTTAGATGTAATGGTTCTACAAAACCTTAGCTACCATGATTGATAAAATATTTTTAAGATCATTTCATTAGGATTTTTGTGGAATATGGTACTTATTAAAAATAATAATAATGTTCTACTTGCGCTCTTGTATAATGTATACATATTTATTATTTTAGTTGAAAATAGATTTACAAATGATAAAACATTTAAGGTTGTGAGAACATCATCAGTAACGAACAATGACTTATTCATTTTTATTGTCTAGTAAACCGTATTATTGCAGTTCAAAATCATTTGTTTTTTTTACAAAAGGTAACAATTTTATACTATAAATATTATGTATTTTAATTTATTTTTCAAGTCTTGGTTTGATTTCTATTCAGTCCTATCTATCTGAAAAAAAAATAATAGTAATGATTAAATAGTTTTGTATCATTTGAATAATCTACTTGTTAAATTATATGAAATAAATTATAAAGTTACATAGATATTTTCTTATATTACTTTCTTTTTTTCAAAAACTGTGAGTTACGTTGTATTGATATTGTTGCTATATAGATAAAGAGTTCTGTGAATACTGATGTACCTAGGAAATGTGCCATCAAATCATCCCCATGTCAGCTAGATGTAAAAATGTATAATATTAAATGTTAGAATCAGTAACTATAATTTGAATTAAATTAATACAATTTAATTATTATCTAATAATAATACTAACTTTTGTTTCTCTAGTATGCAAGCATGCAAACCAACTAACTATTTAGGTTCTTAGAACTAATTAGATATATACTTTGTAAGAAATTTCAAAAATTTAATATATTTAAAATATAATAAAATTAAAAAAAAAAAAATTTTCTTTTATTTTATTTTAGTACAATGAGTAGAAAAAATCTAATAATTAAAATATTTATTAAGGTATTATAGTTAAAAGTTGTATTGACAATAAATTAAATTATTATACTAATCAGTTATCATTGTTATTCCCTAGTTCAATTTCATATTTTCTATTTAAATAGATAAGTTAAAGATAACTTGATCATTAGGTAAAGATTGTATTACAACATACTTTCAAGTCTCTAGGCTAATGCTTATTTATTGTCAGATTTCCAAGATGACTTTTTTATTTATTTCTAATTTTGTCTTTGTATACAATATTAATTATTTACTTATATAATAGTTTTAAATCCAATTTGGTATAATCAAAAACTTGGAGATTTATTAAGTTCAAAAAATAGAAATACATATGTATATTATCTTTTTCAAAAATAATTTATTAAATTATACATACACAATAGTTGTAAAGTAACTTTGAACCTGCTATAAAAAGCTTACATCAAATATTTGTTTTGTAATCTTTATATTGGACCATAAACTAGATCAAGGTATTTGACCTCCACATTTTCCACATTATATGCAATATTACTCTGCAACCATTAATAAAACATTAATCCGGCCTCCAAGAGTTGTATCAGAAAATGTATATAATATTATAATGGTTAATTTGTAAAGTAAATAACAAAGACTGTCTAGCGCAGGGGTCTCCAACCTACGGCCCGCCAAGCTTTTTGCACCGGCCCGCCAAGCTAATTAATGTTTTGAAAATAATATATTAATTTTCATTGTTTTTAATTTATTTTTTATTAAATTGAATAATAAATTAAAAAATTATATAAATAAACATACATTTTTTTAAATAAATCTCATCTATTCTTATTTATTTCTCAATTTCATAACCTATCAGATATTCCTAGAATCCTAGATAGACAATATTTTTTTTTTTTAGACAACACATTTCTAAAAATGTTGGCCCGCAATGCCAAAGCGTATATCAAATTTGGCCCGCCGTAAAAAAAGGTTGGAGACCCCTGGTCTAGCGTGATTCAAGTGCTTTATCCTCCATAGTCTCTCCACACTTCCAATTCACCTTAGAATTTTTACCCTCTTGTTTTATAGTACACTGCCTAATATGTCTGTTTTATCTAACATAATTAGCCTCACACAATTTCTTTATAAAATCTACTTTTTAATCTCATTGGAATTTTGTCATTCAATATACCTTCATGTATACATAATTCTATTTTTAACATAATTCTCGAAATCACCATTATTTTGTACCACCTTTAATAACTAATAAGTACTTAACCTATTCACACCATACATCATCCCCTTATTGTCCTGTCATTTTTTAATTTCCCGCTTTGATTTTAATCTTACTTATTCTTAGCCCCTCCCCTTTTATCGATGTTCCCCATCACACTTTCGAACTTTCACTCGCAAACACAACATAATTTTCAAAGATCAAGAACCATGGCACCCGATAAAACTTTCTTATTTTCGTCCATTAATAAGAGAGTTGACAAGGGCTCAACGCCAGATTCTGATATACAGCTATTGAATTAAATTATTTCGTTTTTCCACTTACACTCTTCACTCTCATCCTTAACTCTTCATATTTCTTTTAACTTACATACACCTTTCAGTACCTACTCTATTTCTTCTTAACGTCTACCACAATAGTTTTTCCGAAACTCTATTATACGCATTCTCCAAATCTATAAACAGCATGCACAAATATTATTTTCTTTTCTAAAATTTGTCTCTAACAAAATATTAGTTCCATCGTCGATCTTAATTTCATAATATACACACTTTTATATATCTTGCCTTCAAATATAAATTACCTATCAAAATACTCTTTGGAATTTAAATTAATATCTTAAGAAACTAGCTATTTGTATTATATCTAAGCTACCTAACATCGTTTATTGACCATTATTCTAATGATAGTTGGTATTCTATTAAGTCCTCCTATTTCTTTTTTTTTTATTTACCTAGTCGCAATCCACACTTCTTCCTCATTAAGTTAACCATTTTTAAATTCCATTATACTTCTTAAATTATCTCCCTGTTAAACTTTTCATTTAATAAGTATCAAATTCTTTTTCCATATATTTTTTACACCATAAGTTATAATTCGTCATATCTTTATTATTTCCTCTTTCATACAATATATTCTGAAAATCTTGGGACATTTCTTCTCGGATCTTAGTCCACGTATCTTTTACTCCTTTTGTACCCAGCTTCTCATATAGTCATCATATTTCTTAAATTGTCCTTCTCTTACTAAATTTTTACTTTTTTAATTACTCATATATTTTCTAACCTTATTTCATTTTACTACAGAGCAATAAAAGTATTAATACAGATTGGTTTTATAATTTTTTTTTTCGTGGATAAATACTCGATAAAATGCTTTGATTTTTAAAAATGGGGGGGGGGGGGGGATATCAAATTGGATATTGTTTGTATTTTAAAAATGTCAAACTTAAAAATCTTTTGATTTTTCAAAATAATCAAGAAAAACAAAAAAAAATTATAGAAAACTAAAACATTTTTTAAATTATTTTGTAATGAAAAATTTATTAAGAAATTTCTTTTTCTTTTAAGTTTTGAAAAATTATTTATTATTTATACCGTAACAAAAACAAACAAAAAATTAAGGAAAAGAAGGAAATTTTACGCAAATTAAATTTTCCAGAAATTCGATTTTGTTTTTTCGCATGTAACTTAAAAATGAATAACTGTAGAGCGTAGATGCTTAGATGTTCAACAAATGTTCATATTATTGTTTTTTATTTACCTACTTTAAAATGTTGAAAAGTTTTTTTTTTTTGTAATTTTTAATTGAAAAATATTTGAAAATATGCTATTTGATTTCGATTCAAAATCAATAATTTTGTTTTAATATTTAAGTATACTTTTCTGATATTGGTATTTGGTAATATACTAACAGGGCCTCCACATGAAAGGGAGAAAGATAGTTAAACCTAGAACACAATTACTGGATTATTTTAGTAATCTGTTGAAATTAATTTATATTTTTTTTAAATTTTTAAGTACTTAAGTTTTATTAAATATTATGTTATAATATATAATATGTATAGAAAAAAGTAAACCAACACTGCGGGGTACCACTTAACTTCGCTAACCTAAACTTTAAATACTTATAACTCAATAGCTACTCGTCCAAATTTCGAGTTTTTTGTATCGATATATTCTGTTTCAGAATATGAAATTAAAAATGTATGTTTTGATTCAAACTTAAAAAAATTATAACAAATAAATGAAAATAAATCATCACATTTTATCTTTACTTTGCGTTATAATCTATATATAGTCAGTCCCCCACTATCATTGAATAATAAAATAATTCCCATTGTCAACTCAATTAAATACTATTAGGCATTCATTCTCGTTAAACGCCTAATTTGGTTTACTTACAGCAAAACTAAAAAAATAATTATAAAATTAAAACTTCATAGTTTTATAGATAACTTATTCATTCCAACATCTCACTCAATAATAAAATTATTATTCTTCTCTACTAACAACTAATTTGTTTCGCGGTGACTTATAGTATTTAAATCTAAAATTGTTTCAATCTTTCCGGTCTATATAAACTTATGTTTATTAATTAAAGTCACTTATCTAAATTTTGTTAATGTTTTAAAATACTTTAAAAAATATTTTGCTTTCGAAATTAAATTTAAAAAAATATACTGTAAATATGTATGTGCACTCAAAATAGTAAAAATTAAAAAAA